TCCTCTGCATCCATCGTCACTGCTGAAATAGGGGCTTTTAATGTAACCCACAACACACTTTAAACACACTGATCACAAGGCAGCTACAGCAGATGTCTGGTGTCTCCAAACCCACAGAGACCACAGCTCTCTGCTTAGAGGTCTTTAATTAGAGGTAGAATACCAGAACAAATGGCGGTCAGTGCAGGAAAAAGAGAGACAGCGCCAGATGTTGGCTGAAAACCCCATTGTTCCACACTCCCACCACTCTCTGTGTAACGTACTGTCTCCTGTACTGATCCCTGTATCTCACCCAGCTGTCTCTTGAGAGAAGTCAGGGTATTCAACAACATGGCTGGGCAGGTTGTTCCATACTCCCACCACCCTCCTGTTCTCAGTTTTAAATGCTAGACATCCCACTTGTGTCCCCTGCTTAACTGTATTACAGAACTCTCAGTGCTGGATGCAGCGCACAGACAGGTCCCATGGTTTACACACCACTCCTCATTGAATCGAGATGCAAATGCGACACTAAATTCGACAGCTCACAGCGGACATGAGTGTTGACTTCTGGAAACTGTTTGCAGAGGAACTGCAGGCATGTACTGTATTACGCTATTTCCAGAGATATCAGCACAGAACCGTTTTACAGAAACCTTGAGATTCCTGTGATCTGACCTGATCCAAGAGGATGTCCCCCTCCTGCTCCTCCACGCCCGGATTGAGACATCGGTCAGACTCCGGTCTGTTTCCATCCACACAGCTGGGCACTTTGCTGGAATGCGGTTTGCTTCTTCCAGAGTCAGACAGCAATGACCCCCCTTAGGATCTGAACCCCAAACCTTCACGGTCCAAGTCTAGACCCCTGACCACTCCTCCACACTGCCAACTCAGTGGGACCTGTCTCAGCTGCCTCTGGGACCGGTCGCAATTGCGTGTGGGTTTTCCACAGCTCCAGTTCCCACTGATGGCCAGTTTCACTGTTTTACAGCGGGTTTTCCACAGCTCCAGTTCCCACCGATGGCCAGTTTCACTGTTTTACAGCGGGTTTTCCACAGCTCCGGTTCCCACTGATGGCCGGTTGCCGTGTTTTACGATGCACTGCTCGCTACAATCCTCATCTCCTTTGCTTGGGCCAAGAACCGCTCTGAGGGAAATCTTAGCTGGAGAGTATTCCTACTGAGATTTGGCAAAGCCAGGAGTGGGGTCCTGCGCACCCCTGTGCACCCAGGGACGCCCTCTGGCCTGCCAGGAACACTGCGCACTTTGAGAAGAACCCCTCGCGCATCTGGGGTCTCTGGGCCTCATGTGCACGTGTGTGATAAACGCGCAGCAAGTCGTGAGAAGAGCTTGTTCTTCAAGGATTAGGCAATTCACAGAGCCTGCTTTTTCAGAAAAACACAGTACTATTACACAGGGTGGCAAGAGGGTGGTTTCCTGTTCACGTTTCTTTTTAAAAAAATACCCCACTATTACAGCTTACATCCTACTTTCTGTTCAAGTAACATGTCTCTTGTGTGCAGATGCTGAATTCAGTTTCTGAGCTGCTGGGGGTTCTTGGATCTACAAGTTCTGAGAAAGTTGCTTGGAACCAGACTTTGGGGTTGGAGTGGACCCACATCAGAGACTGACACTGCGACACCGCGCGCCTCATCTGCAGAAGGGCAACATGCCTGCCTTGCACTAAGGATGTGCGGCTACTTTTCAGGGGTGGGCTGACGAGCCCCCAGTCCCTGGGCAGACTGGGTACCGGTAAGCGAACAGCTGAACGAGTGGCCCCAGATCTGGGGAGCGTACCGTGTTTCGGCTGAGATCTCCCCTGGCCCCACATTTCAGACCGCCCATCGCCAGTCTCCCCTTCTCCCACTCTGGGGACCCCAAAACTCCCTGCCCCACCCCTACCCCCACCCCATTTCCCAGCACCTCGGCCCCCAGCATCAGGCTGTGGGATTCCGCTGGAAAACAACTTTTTGCCCTGCAAAACTGTAATCTCAGCCCTTTCTTATTTCCCAAGTCATCGATGGCACTGGGTCCTACTGACGGGCCAATTGGGCTTCTCCGTGCGGTCAGCATGCTGTTTCCAGATAGTCCAGGGCTCAGTCTCACTTTCCTGCTCAGACCTCTGTACTGAGCATAAGAGCTTTTCAAAAAACAGCTCGCTTGCAGTTTCTCTTCCAGTCTGCATTCAGGTTATTGCACAAACCCCTTCATAAAACTGCAGTGCCCCCAACACTACCTCCCCCCACCCCAGCTGTGGCACAGAGGATTAAAGTCCCCGAGGGTCTTACCAGAGAGGAGGATCCCTAGGGAGAATAAAATCCGACCAGGAGTCATCTCTGCTCATCCACGGACTACAGATCTGTGGCCACAAGCAGGAAATAACGGTTGATTTCAAACCCCACGCCGATGTACCATGTGATTTCCTGTTGTTTTTTTTATGCAACACTTTCTTAGCAGCAGAAAGAAGGCCCCTGTGAACTCGTCTGCAGGATGAGCTGGCGGTGTGTGCGGGCTGGGGCTTAGCTTCTCGACCGCTCGGCCCGGAGGGTCCGGAGCCAGTGGGGGCTCAGACGGCCGGGGGGCGCTCAAGATGAACACGCTCCTGTGCTCCACAAAGCGGCCGGCCTTGTGCGCCTGCTGCTGTAAAACGGAACACAAGACAATGAGGCGCTTAGCGCTGTGCTCCCTGCAGAGCTCAGCAGTGGACAGTGGAACGTGAACCGCAGGGCACGGGTGAAAGTTCATTTAAAACGGCGTCACGTTGTTGGAGCAGATTCCCTGTCCCCTCACAGGGAACAGCTGGATGAGGTCCTCCAGTCGGGACAGGAGACTCTGCTTTACACACAGGGTGGTGGGAGTGTGGAACAAGCTGCCCCAACCCTGTTGTTGGAGCCGATACCCTGGCTTACAAAGGTAAAATGTGCCTAATGGCCTCTCGCATTCATGGCCTCTCAACTGATCTTAGGACTAGTAGCCACCACCTGATATGATGTGGGTTTCTTGGAAAACAAAATCCGTCAAACCCCATAGACATGACTTGGGAAAGCACATCACCACCAGCTCTGGGGTGCTGTCTGTGTGGAGTTTGTATGTTCCTCCTGCCATTGTCTAAGGACATGCTGACAGGCACATTGGCTTCTGGGAAAATTGACCCTGGTGTGTGAGCGTGTAGCCAGCCTTGGACTGGCGTCCTGTCCAGGGTGTGTCCTGCCGCGGGCCTTTTGCATGCTGGGACAGGCTCCAGCTGCCCCGTGAAACTGAATTGAAAGAAGTGGTTAGAAAACGGCTGGCTGGTGCTGATGGTGGCAGACTGGGGAGCCGCCGGGCCTCCCAGTCCTCCCTGGCCAGGCCGCAACAGGAACTGAAACTCTGGATCGGAGCGCTGGTGGCCCAGAGGAGACGGAAATAGACACCAGGGTGACACTTCTGCTATTATTGCTGGTAGAGCCAGGATGTCTGCTCTCCACTGTCCCAACTGATTGCTGTAACGCCCTGCTCGCTGGGGTATCTAAATCCACACTGAACAAACTACAGCATGGCCTGCATTCGGCAGCCAGAATCCTGACCAGGTCGTGTGCAGGCTATCGCATTACTCCTGTCCTGGAGACCCTGCACTGGCTTCCTGTCATGTTTCGTGTCAACTTCAAAATCCCTATGCTCACCTACAGTATAAGATTCTGCATGGCTTGGCACCTCTGTACCTGTCTGATTTACTATCGTCCTACTCCCCACCTGGCAATCTTTGCTCTTCCAGTTCTGGTCTCCTGTCTGTCCGCTAAGCCCGTCTATAGTCTGGGGGTGACAGGGCCTTCTCTTGCTGCGCCCTAAAGCTCTGGATCTCTATCCCTAAGGATATCAGAGAGTCACCTTCCCTAAACTCTTTCAAATCTAGACCTTCTTCTCTAGAAGGGCTTTTCTTTAATTGCTTTTCTTTCCTACTGTATTCCAAAAAAGTCGATTTGGGTTGTGTAATTCTCCTGTCTCCTCACATTCTGCATTTTCTCCATTCACTTACAGCACATTGAGGAGCCACTTTTAAAGGCGCTATATAAAATAACGATTATTATTGACACCCATTTCCTGTGACAGCCAGACTGCTCTTGCTAGAACCCGATACTGCCATTCCCACTCCTGCTGCCGATCCGCCTGTTATCCAGAGAAGGAGCTACATCCCACCCTAGTGTGCTATCTACCCCCCCATTCAGAATTTGCCCCACCTCGCCCCGCTCATGCAGTTGTCCGTGTGGAGCAAAGCACCTCACTCCAGGGTACAGTGCCACCCATCCTCTGGATCTGAACCCCGTAACCCCCTTATGTGGAGTGTTTCCTACACAGTTTCAATTAACCAGCCTTTCCTTTGACCTAAAACCACTCTCCACCCCCCCCCAAAAAAAACTTGTTTCCGGCGGCCCGCCCCCAATCTTCAACACTAATTCACGCACTCAAACTCAAACCGCTCGTCTGTAATCCCATCGGCGGCTCATAGACTCCCGGGAGAAACTCTTTACAGCTGTGAGACGCCCTCTGGTGGCAGGATGGCCGCTACTGCAGCCCCCTCCAGTGGAGGACTGGGGGTTCGCTGGCCACGTCACACCAGTGGTTCTCAAACTGTGTTCCGCAGGGGTTCCGTGGGCTCTCACATAGGCTACAAGAAAAATAAATATTTGCTATCAATAAAAACAAAATGTGTCACGATGGCTTTGCGTGCCTCCAGGAAGTCAGAAACAATAGGTATATCTTCTGAAACGTCATCTTCAAATTCACTCTCTTAACATACATTTCTGTACTTTCGCTGCTAGAGCCTGAAGGCACCTCAGAGGTGTCGGATGAAATTCTCTCTTCCATCTGCTCTTCTGTCTTGCTTGGAGATACAGATGTTTGCCATTTCGCCCGCCGGCAAATCTCAAAAACTCTCGCAATGAGAGAAAATGGCGTGTTACTGGGTAGACAGATCGCGGCGCTGAAATCACTGCGACCACGAGAGAAAAAAAAAAGAAAAATGTGGAAAATAATGTGACTTCACGTCACAAGAATATGAGAAGTTCATTGACCCGATTTACAGACTCGTCCTTGCAAACAGCTTTCATCAAACACGTATGATGAAAATCCGGTTTCACGCAGGTAGTTAGTCACAAACGGGTGAAGGAACAGAAAGTGCTGTTGCCAGAGTTTTGGTGCAGCACCGAAAACGAATATCCAGTATTATCCGAGAAAGCTCTTTCTGTTCTTCACCCGTTTGTGACCAACTACCTGCGTGAAACCGGATTTTCATCATACGTGTCCACAAATTCGAAGTAGCGCAACAGATCGGATGCAGAGCCGAACACGAGTCTGCAACTCACATCTATAACTCCAAATATAAAGGAAATTGTAGGAGTAAAAGGCAGACTCACTCGTCACACTGAGACTGTTCTGTTCCTGCTGGATTTAAATAAATGTTGATTCAAAATGATCAGTGCTCTTTTTAAAAAACCTCATGTATTGTTGTCTCACTGTGTTTTAGTCATTTTGCTACCAACTTTTCCTATCTGTGCCCAGTTAGACCACAGTAAGTGTCGTCTGGTTCTATAAATCTATTCGTTTTTTTTCCTTTGTTAACAATGTAAAAAAAATAAAAGCTTTCAAACCAGAAGGAAACCTTCTCTGGTTTTCTTCTAACTTAGTCTAGTGGTTAGACTTTGATTATTTTACTCTCAACGAGTATTTCAGTGATTAAGCTTTATTGAACTGTAGGGGTGCTAATCGTAGACAAGCTCCCGTGTGATTAATCCATCCGTTTTCACTTCCGCTTTTCCTGCTGAGGGTCGAGCTGAAGCCCGAGTGGATGGGGCGCCCCTCCACCGCAGGGCAGGGCAAGTGCAAGCCAGTCGTACATGGGGACAATCTGGAGGCCACAGTAAGGGCTGAGGGGGGAAATTTGGCCCAGACACCAGGATAACTCCCTACTCTACTCGAGAAGAAACTCGAGAAAGTACCTGGGCATCTTTAATGAGCACGGAGAGTCAGGACCTCGGTTTAGCGCCCACTACAGTCTAGTGTCCCCGCCACTATGCTGGGGCATTAGGACCCGCACAGACCGCAGGGTGAGCGCCCCCCACTGGTCCCACTAACACCTCTTCCAGCAGAACCTTAGTTTTTTCCCAGGAGTCTCCCATCCAGGTAGTGACCAGGCTCAGCCCTGCTGAGCTCCAGTGGGCTGCCCGCTGTGAGTTGCAGAGTGATATGGCTGCTGGCCTCCTGTGATTAAGAAATGACTGAAATAAACTCGATGGGCTCATACAATGCTTACAATTAAAACAAAAGCGATCGATAGTTTCTTCCTTAATAATTGGCTGAATTGCGTCTGAATAGCAGTCCTAGAATGCCTTTTGCAGATCACCGCCATAGCTAATCCTGAAAAGTAAGAAAAAAGGTTTCTGGGGATCCGCGACATCCTCTTCGACAGAGAAGGGTTCCGTCACCGAAAAAGTTGGAGAACCACTGCTGTAGTTACATCGCCGGCTTATTTCAATGTGCGATTTTTCTGTAGTTTT